CTCTCCAGGTTATCCACATCCCTCTTGAAGTGCGGCACCCAGAATTGCACGCAGTACTCCAACTGCGATCTGACCAGCGCCTGATAGAGGTGAAGTATCACCTCTTTGGAGCTATTCATCATGCATCTGCTGATGCACGATAAAGTGCCATTAGCTCTGATGGCTTCGTCGCACTGCCGACTCATGTTCATCTTGGAGTCCACTAGGACTCCAAGATCCCTTTCCACTTCCGTGCCACCCGACAGGTCATTTCCTAGGCAGTAGGTATGCTGGACATTTTTCCTCCCTAGGTGCAGCACTTTGCATTTCTCCTTGTTGAATTGCATTCTGTTGTTTTCTGCCCATTTGTCCAACCTATCCAGGTCTGCTTGCAGCTGTTCCCTGCCCTCTGGCATGTCCACTTCTCCCCATAGCTTTGTGTCGTGTCCACTTCTCCCCATAGCTTTGTGTCATTATCAGATGTATTATCAGACTCAACTGACTTAGGTTAAATTAGTTTATTGAACTTCTGCCCCAGATCCCATCTAGGTTTAAGTTAACTCGTAGTTCCCCAGCATCCCAGGATGCTTTGCACCTCCCCTGCAAACCCCCATGCAGGGTGGATAGGCTAGCCTTGGCCCAAGCTGCCTGCTCCAGCTGAGCAGGGTAGTACGCTCTAGCACCCCCAAGCTTCTGGCCTGGGCCACTATAGGCATATGGCTGCATTTCCAGAATCAAAAGAGAATGTCTTTTCACTTGCTTATCACTTTAAGCTACACAGTTTAGATTAAACTGAGAAGATTGAATCGATTCAGCTTCAGGCTTTTTGACTGCCTGTACTTAGCCATGAAGGTTTATATCATATTTGGAAAAATACATTTGGTTCCCCTCCCCCCAGCATTTTTCTACTATTAAGTTCCATTTCTTTCCTCCAATTTTACGTAAGCAGATGGTCTCTCATTAATTTCACTGCAGTGGAATTCTATTCAGTTCAGTAGAATTGCTTCTTATTTACGCATGCGTAAGTGAGATTGGAATTAGCCTGAACACCAGTGTGTAAATTCATCAACTGGAGATAAAAAATGAAGTACCAACAACAGATCTTTTCACATCCTTTTTTAGGCATTTTTTAGGGTTGCCTTTATTTCCAAAAATTAAAAACTGAAAACCAGAACAAGTCAACTTAAACTACTGGATAATAATCTATGGAGGCCTCTCTAGAGTCAGCCCGATTGAAGGAAGGTTAGGGGAAAAAAAATAACTTCTTTCCTATGATAACTTTCTATATATTGATATCATTTTTACTTTTATAACTCCACCCAATTCTGCCGTCTGACATAAAGGATGTTTGGATTCCTACCTATTCTGGAGCATCTTGTCAATCCCCAAAGAATAATAAATAACATTCAAATGTGTTCATGTCTACTCCATGATACAATTAGCCCTTGGAAACTCAGGAGTAACACTACAACCGTGTAATTTACACTAGGATGCATGTCATCTCTCTGCAGCAATATTAGTTAATTTAGTTAATTAGTTAATTTCATCTTCAGGTTGCTCTTTTCTATAGGCCACAGGATACTTCTTGTTGGTGAGGAATTGCAATAATCCTTACTGTGGGTACCTACAGTCAAAGCACTGATTGTCTTATCTCAGTACTAGTGTAACTTGCATTTGTACATAGAAATATAAACTCACTAGTGTTAAAGTGTCATGTGTCTACACCCTATGAAATGATTTCCTGGTTCTAGAATATGCATGTGTTAGGAAAAACCGAAAGTTTGGGAACTGAACTAATGTATGTTATTTCAATTGTTTTTTCAAACTATTTGTTCGTGACACAGTCTAGGTATATTATAGGACAAGGTACAGATCTCAAATTCTCTAAACTTTTAAAAAATGACGCATTTATCTACAGCTTCACAGCAGAATGCAGTTAACCTAGATTTACATAAAAGTCACATATTTTTCACCACACGCTAGACTTTACATGTGTAGCCCACTGCTTCATCCCTTGATACCACAAGCATTCTTCTCAAACAAGAAAGGGGAACATTTTACACACACACAGAGACACTTGAAAAGACTTATTGTTAGAGATAGGTTCTGACAGAAAACTATCAAAGGAGAGTTAAGGCAGGACCACAGTGCTGTTTTAGAAAAGCCTGCCTATTTATTACATGTATATTACGTGACATGTGAACCTATTACCATTCTCTGAGAAACTAAGTACTCTCAGGAAGCCTTATCTTATAGCAAAGTTCCACAAGATTGTTCTTCTACAGCATGCTGGATCTCAAGTTGTAATTTATCCGCCTTGGGGATGAAATTGCTTGTTTCTTTAAAGTGTCAGCACACTGAACAACCAATATAGATTTAGTCCCTTTAAAGCAGATCATCAGTGTTTTTATCTCATGTCTTGACACTACCTGGTTCTTCTACTTTGTTTAGAAATCAGGAGTAACACTTTGTGAAATGTTCACACTTACCCTTTTTGAGTGCAATGAACTGAAGTGGTATTTAATAGGATTTTTTTACTCAAGGAGAAGAATTTCACTGGAATAGATTTTATTTATTACATAAATAACATTTATTTTATTTTCTGTTTCCTAGAGAGGCACCTAAAGCTCCAAATGAATGCATGCATTATTTACAGAGTTACATACAAATTTACTATATCTGACACCCATACCAAGCCCTTCAGAAAATTCTTCCTTCTCCAACTATCTCCTAGGAAAAGACTGGAATAATAGATAAGGTATGCAGTAACCCTAAAATTTAACACATTTGCTATACTAAAGCTTTGCTATACTAAAGGGGACCATTAAAAGAAAAATAACCTTCGTAAAATTGCTCAGGCTAATAGTGTAGTCATTCAGAGGCAAGTTGCAAAAATACAACTATGCTATTAAAGAGATAATATAATTATGCAAACAGTCCCCTAAATTTCTCAAATAACTCCACTCCCAGTACATTACTGAGTCCTACAAAATGGAGTCTCCTCTAAGCTTTGCAAATAACTCCTCTACCAGTAATATGAGTGTCATATCCTGGGGACATTTATATTTCTAAGGCATGACATGGTGACTAGAATATCATTTTAAAAATAAAGACAATTTTCACAATTTCCCCCCTAATACATTTGCATTACTCAAGTGAATAAGTTAGCTGCATTCTGATTGGCTGATGTTATCTTATCCATTTACACCTACAGCAGCAATTACCTTTTGAAAGGAGAGCCCAAGAGTCATCTGGTAACTTTATGAACCATGTGGCTGTTAGGGCGAGGCAGTTTTCCCTGGTATTATTATGTTGTGTCATAATCTACAGTGTTAAACTACCTTGGGTAGTTCCCAGTGATTTCTCCCTAACTTACCTGTCAATAATGGCACACATATCGATGATTACATTCGCAAAGCTTCCTAGCTTGCCTTGCTCCACTGCATGTAAGTCTACAAGTTGGTCATCCACATGAATGAACTGCATGCATCCTTGGAAAGATAGCTGGGAGCGATCTGAGTCATTCATCAGTGATGGGAACCCTGTGAAGCAGAGGAAACAAGAGCATTATTAATATTGGTGGCTGACGTACTTTACTAAAACTGAAGGCATCATTTTTCCTGTTGCCAAAGAAATACTTTCCAAATGTGAAGAAAGAAACTGATGGATGCTATTTAATTAAACAACAACAACTACAGCAACACAAAACTTCTTCAATATTTGTTTCCACCTGGTGGATGGCTGCTGTCCTTCAAGTCTTAAAGAGACACTACTTATTTTTTCACATCGGTCTAGTCACAACATATGTTTTGGTTAGTAACTATGAGGCATCATGGAACTGAGATGGAAAAATGCAAGTAATCTAGTCTAGTCTTCAGCTTGGTTTAAAATGTTGTTTTATATATTACAGTGGAAAACCTTTTGCCTGCTTGATTACAGTTTGATGTTAGTCATTCTCAGAGAAAAAGGCTATACTAACATCACAAGGCACGTTTAAGACCTGTGTGTGCTTATAGCCAGTGATATTACTCCAGGTTCAGCTTTTAGACAGGAAAATCTGTTTATATTAATAGACAGGAAAATCTGTTGACATTAATGGGAGATTCACCCAAGTACAGACCGAATAGGATATGCATGATTGGAACAAACCATTTTATTACAATGAAAGAATAGATTTTTACATAAACATTTATTTCATGTGTACAAAAGCCTTTGTAATTAGGGATGCTTCATTTGTATTTTTACAGAAGGAACTGCACCCTTTCAAGACATTCTTAAAGCCAGTCCACTCACTACCTCATTAAAAACTGGGAAAACATTGCTAAATTATTTATAACAAAGCTACTTCTATGTTCCACTCAAATTTAATACCCTTACAGTTATGTCTATTACAGTTAATTTTGCTCTAACACAAAAGGAAAAGAACAAAAAAAAAAGCAAGAAGAAAAAAGGAAGAAATTTACTACAAGGATCTCCAAACTCTGTAGTCTTTTAGATTGACCCATGGTGGTTTTACTGAAGCAGAGCCTGTTTTTCACTCAATGAGTCTTTCATCTGTACAAAGCATCAAGGCTTTCAGAAACACTAATTCTTTGAGATCGAGGATCATTTGAACATATGAGCAATTCACTCAAAGTAGAACTGAATGAAGTCAGAGCTCTAAAATCATCAGTAAACATGAAAATAGAGCATTAGTCAATACTGGTAAATAACAAATGAAAAGTGTCCAAATATAAGACCAATGCCCCAGGTTCTCAACAAAAATAGTAATAAACAAATAAATAAGCAACTCCATTTGAAGGACATGGAGCCTTAGCTTGCATCAGCTATGAACAGGCATCACAGCAAATGGACTACTTTAACTCTGTATAACATCAGGGGGGCAATCTTTTTGTCAGGCATGGCATAAGGTAAGCCTTACCTGCTCCAGGTGTGCAAATGACACTCTGATCTTCTTACCCCGACCAGTACCTTGCTCTGTGCTCTCCTCCCTGCCTTTGCTGCTGTTCTGTCTGATGCTACTCCCTGTTGGACCTGGCACTTCCAGAAAGGCTGAAGATTTTGCTTTGCTTGTTTGTTTAGCCAAGGGTATTGTTTATATATTATGGACTATTGCATGGCCTGACTGTGGAGATCTTAAGGGGATAAAGCCCACCTGCTTGGGAGCAGGCACATCAACCCTCTTACTATCCCCTTTTTCAGTTCAAAAAAGATCTGCTTTGATCATGATACCTATCAAAATCAGCTAATAAAAGCTAAGAAGAGATGAAATTGTATATAGTTGATCATTGAAATGTGCTATGCAAAAAACATAGAAAGAACATAGGAAGGAACTGAAATACATTTAAACTTTTTGCATAAAAGATTCTTTGTTGTATATTGTTACCTTTTCCCGAGCCGTAGAGGGTATAACGATGCTCATTGATTTTAGTGGGCATTTCAACTCATTCAGCAATTGTACAAAGCCCAGCCTAAATTCTGTGTGGCATGGATTGTGCCTTACTGCATGGCTGATAGTAACTTAGCACATTATAGGTGTTGTTAATGATACAAAAGAATAAAAGCAATGTTTTCTTCTTCAGATATTCAGTTTTAGCCTATAAGACTCTCTCCACAATGAAAGAAGTAAGAATTAAATGAAGTTCCATAACTAGGGCTGACAATAATACTGTCACTGTGCAAGGCCAAATAATCGAGGCATGTATTGTTCAAACATTGTATTGATTTTCTTTCTGACAAGTAAACTTTGTGGGTTTAAAACTTCACTTACAATGGAATATAGGAGATACTCTGTTGATGCTTTTGTTCACAAATGAGAATGTTGATGCTTATGTTCAGAAACACGCTTATATCTGGCATCTCCAGGTCTTTCTGTATTGTTTTCAACAAAATCAGAATCTAATTACAGTTCTTAAAGAAAAGAGATGGGATCATAATATAAAGGTCAAATATGGATCAAATCTGAATATTCCCCACAGTTCCCTCAGAGTTTGGGGTCAGGGTTTTATTTTGGACTGGTAGAAACAGGAAGCGGGTGGTTCTCATTTCTCTTCCATGATTTAAAATTACCAACACTTGTAAAACAATAGAACAGTGAAGGTGAAAACATAACTTACTCCTCAATCCAATCAACCCAATCAGTTAGGCTGTATCAATTGAGATATTTTTTAAGGTACAACTTCAAATGTTTTATGCATTGTTTAGGGCTGATCCCTGGTCCAAACAATGAAACACAATACTTGAAACTGTAATCTGAATATGCATATACAATTTATTCTACATTATTCAAGTTGTTTTTGAAGGACAATGCAAATTATATATTTTTTTGGTCAGAGACAAAAAAGCTTTGGTTTATACTTTATTATGAGATTTTCATTTTTACATTATTATTTTTTATTTGTAAGCTAATGAGAAACTGGTTTAATGTACAGATGTTCCTTGGTATCTATTCGCTTGCAGTGATTTTCAAAACACAAATTACAGAAATAATGTCTCTTTCCCAAAATATCTGTCAGATTAAAAACTAATTGATGCAAGTTGTTAACTGGCATTCACTATTATCTCCTTGAATTTGCCTCCCTTTAGAAGTCATTAATCAGCAGAAGAGCATGACTGGTGATCTCAAATATGCAAATGAGCTGAGCTTTTAAAAAATATTTTGTGTGTACCTCAAAATGTAATCAAATGCAAGTAAACATACTACAATTCTATCAAAAGGTGGAACTGATCCAGTGAAATTCAGATTGGTGAAAGGGGAACAAGATCTATGAGGTTTGTGCACTAAAAATCTATCAGCATTATTTAAAGGCCAGATTATAATTAACTGGATCACACATATATATGAGGGGTGTGTGAAACGGGCTATATTCAATTCGGATTTGGATTCGGCCTGAATCAGAGACAGTGATTCAATTCATTGATTTGGATCACTGTCCCTGATTCAATTCAGCCGAATCTGAATCTGAAGATTCAATGCTGATTTGGAGAATCAGCAATTTGGCAATAGATACAGCTTTAAATGGTTTTTCTACATACCTCGAGGTACCAGGCATGGCTCATGAACTCTGCAATGCTGGGGCGCATAGACTGCCAGTCCACTTCTGGGTCCACCATACAGCATGCTGGGAGGCCCCTTGGCACTCCCCGGCTCAGTGATCAGCCACAGGGGGACCTCCCAGACTCAGGAGACACCAGTAAGTGAGCCGCGGTAGTGCAGGGGGCCACTTCTGGGTGGTTCTGGTCCACTTCTGGGTCTGCTGCTGAGCACACTGGGGACCTCCCACTCCCACGCTCCTGTGGGACACTCCATCTGCCCCACCATCGGAGCATTCATGAGCTGCCTGGTACCTTGGGGTATGTAGAAAAAACATTCAAAGCTGTGTCTATGGCCGAATTGTCAAATCTTTCCGAAACTCTCTGAATCTATTTGGAGAGTTCTGATTCAATTCAGAGAGATTAAAGGGTCTCCTGATTTGATTTGGATTTGACAATTCGGCCACCGAATCAGGCTGAATCTCTGCCAAATTGAATCAGGGACCAAAACTTTACGCAGCCCTGATATATATAATGTACAGAATTCTCCTTCCTTCCATTTTTCTACAAATAAATACAGATTTCCAAGGGTCTGTCCACATAGTCACATAACTCCAAGAAACAACTGAAAATACACAAGTTCTTTGGAAGAGGGAGCAGACTTGTAGCTAGATTCTCATTTCTCTCACACTGGTGCAACAAATCCACTCATATCCTAGTCAATTATATATGCACCATGAGCAAAGGATGTGGCCTTCAACATGCAATATGCAATCCAGACCCCAACAATTGGAAAACCAGGTACTAGCTTCTATACCCAAAGAAACCACTATAAAGAAAATACAAGAGCTCTAAACTGAAAAGATGAGAGGTTTGGTTTTTAATTTTAATTTCATTGCATCTCTGATGATTTGGCTTCATAGAATTTTGTTCATTTTCCAATGAAGCCCAGTCATTTTTTAAAAAAATGTTTTTCAGTATCTTAGTAAAACAAATAAAATCCTGATGCAGTTATGTTAGAAGCATGGACACACTTCTATTCTTTTTTATTATATTATATCTGCATTGTAGCAGTCATATAGCCAAATAATGGAGTACAATGAAAGATGTCCTAGTGGTATGTACTTGATGTTCTTGATTGCTAGTAGTTGCTTTGTTTTCATTCATTCAGTGAATATAGAGTATATTTGGCTATCCAGAGAGAAGGGATTTATGTTCAGGTTCAATAAAATTCAAATAAACCTAAATATTTCAGTTCAGATGTTTATCTTGCTTGTCTAGCAGCTGTTTATGATGCTGAAAGAGCATTCCATCTGGTCTTCTCAGACAGGATTTGAGTGGAAAAAGTGAAGAAACCAGATCCCACAATATTTCACAATAATTAATACAGTCCATAAAAAGTAAGCACAAGCACCTCTCTCAAGGGAGTTCTGCAGGGATTAATTAGCTGCCACTTGTAAAGCTCACTCAAGATGAAAATACTAAATATTGCTATTATTACTATTATTAT